TAGAGTAAGTTTTAGACCATTTTGCCATCCAAAGAATCACCTTCTAAAAATTCAAGCACGGGTTCATAACTGATGATATTCACAGATATACTCTGTTCCATTAGCAAGCTGAAACAGAATCTGCCAATGACTATAATCCACTTACAGATGGTGGGAAATCTGTGATATATCTGTTCCATTAGCAAGCTGAAACAGAATCTGCCAATGACTATAATCCACTTACAGATGGTGGGAAATCTGTGATATATCTGTTCCATTAGCAAGCTGAAACAGAATCTGCCAATGACTATAATCCACTTACAGATGGTGGGAAATCTGTGGCCAACTGTAGTCAAGCAAAGATATTTGATAGTATATTGTATAAGCTCTATTCCATTGTCATTATCTATGTGATTGTTGTTACATGAAAAGAGTCTGGGGTAACATCTTATCTCTTTCATTATCCAGGGAATGACCGATTTTAAAAACATTTGTGATCATAGCAAGAATTTTGGTACAACAGACTTCTCCATTAGATACTTTCAATATGTGGACAGTAAGGAAGTGGATGACAGCAAAGATCAAGAGGTATGGACTAATTTCTTTTCTTCACATGTTTATAACTGCATGAAGAACAACTGAATACTTCAGAGAAGAGAGTTCTTATAATATAAAATATATGACTGATTACTGCGTGAAACATAATTGACTACTGGGCCTTTGGTCTGATCCGATTCTTATGCTCATTCATTTTTTTTTCAGGATATTCCTGTACCCAATGCCAACCTAATAGGTATACTAACAGAGCTTTCATCCTTCTGCCAAAATGCATAATCATTCTAAGCGTTACTAAATTAAACAATTACAGCACAATTTCAATAACACTAAAGAAGTTTTTAAAAGATAAGCACTACTATGATTAATAGGAAGCCCTCACAGATATTTTAAAGGATTTCCCCTGAATCAGTACCAACGTTTCACTTCTGCCTTCATAAAGCTGAAAGTTCTTATGAGAACTTTAACTCAGTTGTACTTTTCAAACCACATGTTAACATTTAAAAAAGCCTTACTAAATATGTTTCAAAAATGTAAATATAGTGTTAGTGTTGGAACTGAAAAATTGTACCTCTCCTTTTAAAAGAATTTCCAGTCTGTTGTTTCACACTACAAAATGGACATGGTTATAGATTAACTTCATGGCTAAGAAGCACTAAATGGAAAAGAACAGTAAGTGAAAAATTGGGCTGTGCAGAGGTTTGACTAATCCTTGCTCACTTTATACTGTCCTATATTGGCTTCCAGACCCATTCAGTTATAATGAAAAATGTTGGTGGCAATGTACCTGTAATGGAATGTGGGGATGGCCTTGGAAGATCAGGGTGGGGGAGAGCGATGCTGCCTAGGGAACGATCAGATAAAAGGGAGAGAAGCCACAACTGATTAAGGAGCCCTTAATCAGAGAAAGAAACTTAGAAAGGACCCGCCCTAACTGATCAGGCGGTAAAAAGGGACAGTGGGAGATTTGTACCTTCAGACTTGCAAGATTCTGTTAATGTACCCTATCAATAAAGTAGAAGTAGCTCATCTATCCATGTTTCCTGTCTGGTTTACCTGGGAGCGCTGATGGTATCCAATAATGGATGTCTCTTCTGACCATGATGTCTTGTTATTCCAGATTTCAGTGTATTCATTATTGTACATCATAACTTTCTGGAGCATAGTTCAAATAATATGTAACCTAATACCATGTTCTGATGAGGGGGATGTTGCCCCAAAGATGAATTAACTGTAAACTACTGTATTCTGGATTAAAAGATATATATGTGGCCACAATTCTGGCAAGAACCAGAAATGCATATGGAAGCAACTGTTCTTGAGGCATGCTGGCCCCAAACCAAATATTTTGACTAGTGCCATGCCACAGAAATAACTGAGGACTTCCCCCCCTCCCAAAACCAGCAAGATATGCTTTGACTGCTTTGTTTGAGCTGCCAGCCTGAATTCAATATGTTGTTCAAACTGAAGTTTCTAAATAGTTTTAAAGGCACTATAGTAACCCAAATGGGTTGTTATCAGAACTGTGGCCATATTTTTGTCCAGGGACAAAGGGAAATACATAGTACAATTATGCCACTAAGGAGACTTTATTTGATTAACTCCCAAACATTTAGTTCTAAGCTTTTTCCATCAAAGTCCACAGCTGGTGACCCAAAAAAGAGCTTTATTAATGATGTCATCTGATCTCTGAAATCAGCCTTATTATCTTTTCACACTATTTGTCTAGGCCTTTTAGCTGTTAATGTTTGTATACCTTACAGGCTCTGGTTTCATGTGGCTTTTATCCCATAGGGGAGAAGTTGTAATTTTTTCTTTAACAAGGCTAACAGCAGTTTGGGGAAGAGGTTTATGGCTAAAAAGCCCTCACCCAGAACCATTAAGTGCACAGTTTTTCTGCAGTTCTTTCTAAGTGAAAAATGTTTGAAGGTTTTATAAAATATACATTGTAGTATGCTTTTGCTTAATTTGGGACTATTAGGTGAGATGAATATTTTGGATTATATCTTCAACTATGTTAGAATAAGGTATAACAATCCACTTTAATTCAGAGCCAGTTTGGTGTAGCAGTTAAGGCACTGGGTTAGAAATGGGGAGATCGTGAGTTCTGGTCCCACCTTAGGCACAAAGCCAATTGGGTGACCTTGGACCAGTCTTTCTCAGCCCTAGGAAGGAGGCAGCGGCAAACTACGCCTGAAAATCTTGCCAGTAAAACTGCAGGGACTTATCCAGGCAGTTGCCAGGAGTCAAAGACTGACTCAAAAGCACCAAAAAAAAAAGTCTATTTAGTGGCCCAAAATGTACTGTAAATAAACTACAGCAATTAAAGAAGGCTAATTTTAAGGCAATAATGAGCTCTGCCATTAGATCAGACCCATGGGAAGTTGACACCTATAGGCAGATCAGTTTCTTAATCCAAAGGTCATCTTCCATAGGCTTAGAAACTTGCTTATCCCAGAAACATGAAATTGCCTATTCAGCAGAACTGGAGATTTTCAGTGCTTTCTAACTAAAAAAAACGCAGCTTATTTCAAGGGATAGGTTTTCAAGAGGAATAAATATCATTTACACCCTGAAACCCTAATAAACATGTAAAGGTCAGATATTTATATTTATTTATATTTATATTTTTTACACTGACAGTAGCTATCTTTGTCCAAATGAGTTGCTGTTATCATTTTTGGGAAAATGAAGGAAGGAATACCTTTTTCTTTTTACATTTGTGTCATCCAGTTGGTGGTGCTAGATAATTGCATAAACCAATTCTTGCATGAAACACTGCATTTTTGTCTGATTATTTAAGTTCATATATACATCAGTGAAATTGGATACTAGTACCAATATCCTTATAAGACTGCTTTTCCCATACTAACACGTTTCAGTGAAGAATTTGTTAATTGAATTGGTATGCTGCAAGGACACCGGTCTCCCATAACAATGAGTCCAGTAACTTAATTTCCTACGCAAGTCAAGAAATCAACCCGTTTTTTAAGAAGCCCAGGCCCAAAGCCAATTCTCTACTATAGGCAAATGACTTAAATGAGGATCTATATACTACTAAAACTCTCATGTCTGTAACCTTCAACTGGGTGAAACAGTGCATCATAAGGGAAACAATTTTTGAACCAAGGTACCTCAAATGGGTTAACTTACAGAATGCATCCAAAATCTGGGACCATTACTCCTGTGGAACTGAAATTTGTGGCTGCTTCAGCAGGGTTGCAGTGCCGCACCACCGCAGTCAGCCCAGGTCACATCCTGGGGATATGCCCAGGTCACAAGTGCATATCCCCAACCTCTTTCCTGCCTCCCTCTGTCCCCTGCACCCAATTGGCTGACGGCAAGGCCCAACAGGTGAGCAGCAAGTGGCTGCTTTGGAAACAAGTCAGAAATTTGAAATCTCTTAATGGCAGTAGGCATTGAGGGAAGGATGAGGGAGCGACTTGGATGCCTGCTGGTGAGGCAGGGCTGGCTGGGGGGCACTGCTGGTCATCAAATGAGCCCTCTTCCTCCCTCGAGGGAGGGAGCCCTTGGGGACATGCTGGAATGGGGAGCAGGGGTGCAGTTTTCCTCATGGTCTGCGGCTCCCTTTGTTCCACCTCTCCCCAGCAAAGTGGCAGGCAGTGCCATGGGTTAGCCAAAGAGGAGGAGGAGGAGGCTTCATCAGGGCTCTACTAAGGGTCGTGAGGGGAGGGCAAATGGCACAAGCCTATCTTATACATGGGAAGGAAGGAAGGAAGGAAGGAAGGAAGGAAGGAAGGAAGGAAGGAAGGAAGGAAGGAAGGAAGGAAGGAAGGAAGGAAGGAAGGAAGGAAGGAAGGAAGGAAGGAAGGAAGGAAGGAAGGAAGGAAGGAAGGAAGGAAGGAAGGAAGGAAGGAAGGAAGGAAGGAAGGAAGGAAGGAAGGAAGGAAGGAAGGAAGGAAGGAAGGAAGGAAGGAAGGAAGGAAGGAAGGAAGGAAGGAAGGAAGGAAGGAAGGAAGGAAGGAAGGAAGGAAGGAAGGAAGGAAGGAAGGAAGGAAGGAAGGAAGGAAGGAAGGAAGGAAGGAAGGAAGGAAGGAAGGAAGGAAGGAAGGAAGGAAGGAAGGAAGGAAGGAAGGAAGGATGGATTTCTGATGCTTCCTGCCAACTTCTCACAAGCAAAGTCAATGGGGAACCAGCAGCAAGTCATAAGTCGCTCACACTCCCACTGCTTTTTTGCCCTTGGTTATTCTGTTTCTCTGTTTCGGTAAGGAAATATCTCTGAAATGATGACCCAATGAAACATGGGTTGTCTAGTATTAAATAACGATCATTGATACATTAATATCCTTCATAATCTCCTCTTAACGGGAATTGATAGATACAATTTTTACTTTGTTATTCTTACCCTGTGTTGTCTTTCTAAATTTTAAAATATTATAATCGTAAAATACTTGAAACAGGGACTTCCATTTCAAAATGTCACATCCTTGGATAACATTTTAAAATGTTCAAATGGATAAGAAGCTGGAATCTGTTCCTAACGTTCCATGTTCTAGTGAGAAAGGATGAATTTTGGAGTACATGCACCTACATACAAATTATTTACGTTGATTACAATGTAAGAAGATTGAATGGGGAAAAAATAAAGAAGTAGAATATAATGTCATTTTTCACATGACTTGTTATCCCAAATGCTCAGGCAATAGCTATTTTTTCATAAATGCCCTTTTCATAAAAGCATTTTTCCCTGCAAGAGAGCATACCTGGCTCTGATTACAACTAAACATTTTTCGCACTTTCATACAATCAAGCCAGAAATTTCATCTCTGACAATACAGTGTAACATCCCTTTTAGAAGAGATTCTCAAGTTCCTATCAGAAACTTTTGGCTATTTATAAGAGGTGTGGGATTTTTATAGATTAAATTAAAGTTTATTCTATTTAAAAATGGATTTTATGTTAAAAATTAAGTGAACAAAAATATGACTACTCAGATACAGATATACACCATCATTTCAAACAGCACAATTTTTAGCTCTTTGCTCCCTTTATGTTGAATTCACACTCATTAAAAACAAGCAAGCCATGCCTTTTTGAACATCTGTCAATGGTTTATCAGCACAGTTCAAAGCATTTTTAATAAAGTATGATATTGTAATATCATATTCCAAGAATTGTTGTATCATTCTGGATCACATATCAGTGAAATACCTTGAGCCATCTAAAAGAAAGCCATCTGTGCTTCATAGTCAATGCATTTCTAGTAGTTTACCTGGGCTTAAACAGTCACGGAACTTACCTTTGAGCCATCCAAGCTGATGATCCTATAGACGTTTCTTGTGCTGTCATAGAAATAGGACACAGTAACAGCATGCTTGCTGGTGGGAACCCAGTTCTTCTTTGTATTTGGGTCAATTTGGAAGACATGAGCTCGGGTGCTGTAGATGGGTTGCTCCCTGAAGGGCAGAAAGTAAAAGTGATGGATCTGGTGTGGACGTAATATGATTGTACATGAGTCGTTGGGATATTTCATCCATTGGATCCTACTAATGACTTCACTCTGCATCAATAATAAACTTGCCCTCCTAGGACTTATGTGTATAGATCGAGATATAATAGTGAAGCACATGAAAAGTATTCACAGGAAAGGGAACTGCAAGTCCATTAAAATAAATTGAGTGGCCAGCTGTACAGTCAAATAAAGAAGACATATCTAAATATAGAGGCATTACTGATATACACCTCCCCCTCTCCCCTCCTCCATCTGTCAGCCTCTTTAAACATGGGCTGTCAATATTGCAAGTTTATTTTTTTTCTATTAAAGGTCACCTAATTATATGATTTATTGTCCTGGTTTATTTAACTTTTTATTATTAAAAATGTCATAATGCTATTTATAATCATTAGCAATATTATTGGTGACATCAGGTTACAAGGAGTGATCATTATAATGGTGGTGGGAAAGAATCCAATAATATCAATTTCACCATCTGTTAAAGGAACACATTCCCTTTTCTATGCTCCCTAAATCTGTTTGAAAGATTTGGGGACCCCCAGAAATTTGGGGAATGTTTAAAAGCAGCTGAAGGATGGCTCATAAAGAACTCTTCAGTACTTTTACACTAATCCTTTTTCAAATACCAAAGAATATATCTTTCAGTAATAAAAGCAAGAAACACAATCAGCAGAAAACAGAAAAACAAATGAAGACATAAACTGATCAGAGCAGAATGAATTTAAAATCCCAAGCAGGCTTAGGAAAACTAAAAGGGCTTGGCCTAAAACTGCTGCTACTGCAGTGTGAAGTTTAGGATGGTCCACAGACACCTCTCCTTAGCTCATACTACCTTCCCAACCTTATGTTTGAAAAATGATTCTATCAAAAATCATTTCTAATTCTAATTCAAATCATCTCTATTTCCAGGCCTCTGCCTTCCAAAAGGCCTCCATAAAACGATGGATGTCCACTTGCTCAGAAAGAGGACAAAAATGAACCAGAGTGACAAGGATCACTCTGAATGGTAGATACTTGGGGTATCAAGTAGCATTCTTGTAAATGAGAATCTTACTGTTACCATCTGTCAATGGAGAAGAACCCTATTCCCCAGCCCAAGCAGTCTTTTCTGAGACACCTTCAAGAAGTTCTCAACATTCCAAATGTTCCCACCAGTTCCAGAAACTTGGGGAACCTTGCCAAGAGATTAATTATTCACTGAGAAGATTATTAAGGAAATACAAGTATGTAGGTCTTAATTTTTTTTACAAGTACAAATTAAATAATACTGTATCTATCTAAAACAAAAGCATAGTCATATTTTACATACACCTATGACAACATAATGAGAGAATACATTGCATATAACGCAAATAATGGCCTAAAGATCTTGGGAACCTATAGGAGTAGCCAGGGCCTATAAAGACTTTAATCTAGCCCTACCCTAATCTGAATTATGTTGGAGGTAAGGAGGTCTCTCTACAAAGGGACAATCCCCATTAAGTCTCACTGTTTGATCCAAATAGAGTGATCATTGTAACTAATGGTTTCTCCAACCAAACTGAAAACCATATTTGCTTTCATCTAGCTAAGTCACTTTGGGTATTGGCTTTGTGCAGAGAGATTTCAAAGCTGGTGGTTTATTAAGCAGCAACCAGTTATGAACCATAACAAAGATCCATTAAATTAGTTTGGAGAATTTCTACATTTGTATTATCTCAGACATTCTTTTAGAGCCTCAGCAGATAGCAGCACCTAGCTGCCCTTGGAAACTAAGCAGGACTGGGCCCAGTAATACTTGGATGGGGACAATGAGAGAATATCAGAGCTGTAGGCTAGACTGAGAAGGAAAAAAAAAATATCCTGGAAGAAAACAATATTAAGCCACTTCTTTATTGTTGCCAAGACAATGACATGGACATGTCCATGAAATCACCAGGAGTTCAGCTCAGTGCAAAGGAGATTTTTACCCACATTATTTCAGATGCTTATTTTAAAGAAAAGATAGGCAAACTATTGCCTTTCAAAAGTTCTAGTCTACAAGAAATAATTCTAAAAAGGAGCAAGATAGTTTCAGAATGTTAATTTTTAAAATAGGCAATCTAATTTTAAGACCCAGTGTGCTTTTTCCACAATCATGCTTAATTCCAGAAAGAATTACTAAATTCATACATCACGCCAATCCATGATTTGGTGAAAAACCAGAGTTAATAGGGTTCAGATACTGCAATAAGCCACATCAATAATTCACAGTAAGGTCCAAAATCATGATAAGCTTAAACAAATATATCATTATAACTCAGTATGATGTGTTAACCCAGACAATTAATGTGTCACGCTGTTGGTAGTACTTCTTTAAATACTACATTAAAAGTACTTGTTCCATTATCTTTCTAATGGAAATTCTCTATATGATCATTTGCACATTTATTTTTTTAAAATTTTAAATGATCTGATCTTGGGCATTCTTTCATATCATCTTACATATTTTAACACTTAATCCATCATTTAGGGTTTCTTCACCTTTTCTAGTTATATTGAAAATGTTAGCTTTGTAGGAGAGTTAGTCTTTGCAATTTGAAAAGAAATAAGTATCTGAAGGAACTAAGTCTAAACTTGGAAACAGCATTTGACTCTCAGATGCTTTCTCTGTAATTATATTGAGTACCATAACTCATGTTCAGTACTTGCAGCTATGTTTAGTTCATTAATCCATTTCCTGAATATATTTATTAAACACACTGCAATGCTTTTAAAAATTCTGATAAATTGAGAAATTCTGTGGAGTAGTTATTCCTCATCAATAACTACCATGATTTGTTTTATCCACATTCACACCATTTTTATAACCATGGAATGATCGTGCATTCTGTAGCTGCAATTTTGACTTGCGAATGAAAGATTGGATTCTTCTAATAGTTCTGTACCTTCCTGCATCCATCTCTAACAATGTTGTCTCTCATTCTTCTCTTTCTAATGCTATTGAATGCCATTAACTGTTACCTGACAATGGAGAAGAACTTACTTTTGGAACTTGATTCAATTAATTGATGACTTCAGTGCATGTTCACTCTGATACTGAAGGGAAGCATGTGGCTGCCCTCCAAAGTGTAATCTGAGGTCATATCTTGAGGTCCCCAAAAAGCTTCTCCACTCTTTGCACCTGAACAACTATAGCACTTATTAAGTTTACTTTGGATTCATCTGGATTACTGAGTGCTTTGGGTAACTTCTTTTTAAAATGGCTGATGCTATGTGCATTGATGACATATGATTAAGGAGAGACTGGAAAATGTTTGAAAAACAGATAAGCCTAGAGGTGCTTTAACAACAGGATAAAATAATTATGAATTAATTCATTATTCATAGTTCCAAAAGCAGGAAGTCACTTTTAGAATTAAACAGTTCTTTGAAAAGCGAGGCTACAATAAAAATAAAGAGATGATCCTTCTCACTGTCCTTAGGATAGTCTAAATAAGAATTAGAAAACTGTTATCACTTGTTTCCCAATTCTTTTTAAGGTAAGATAACTTGATAATAGTCATTAATTTGAAGTTCAACAGAGGCAAATAAAGAGACTAGGTGATGGAAGATACCCATCTGGGGATCTGATGCAGTGAAGAGGAATTATTGCGTCCTCCCACACTGACCTAGGTAGGAGGCAGCAAATAGCTAATCTTAGCCGATCTTAAGAACATTAAACAAGATCAGACCTGGGTAGTATTTGGATAGCAGAACACCAGAAAAATCCCAGGACTGTAAGCTTGACTGGGAAATCAGGAAGAAGAACATCCCAGAAGAAAGCAAAACATTTCAATACTATTGTCAGAGAAAATGACAGGATGCTTCCATGTGGTCACCAGAAATTGAACATGGCTTGAGGGAGTCTTTATTTAGGTTCCACTTGCATAAATAAAACATGGATTACAGAAACATCAATCAGTCTCTAATGCAGGTAGTCCTCAGTTTAAGAATGAGTTCCATTCCCAAGGTCTGTCCTTAAGTTGAATTTGTATGTAAGC